TTTCAAGGTAACGTCAGGGAAGTGCACAGGGTGAATGTGTGAACCCACACTGGAGTCAGACCGTCTGGCTGGAAGGCAGCCCTGTCGCTTACGAGCTGTGCCATCGTGGGCAAAGCCGTTCGTGCCTCCTACGGATTCTGTGGGGCACAACCACCCCACCCCCCATGCTGGCCCGGGGGGATGGGGATTAAATGAAGAACAAGGCTGCCATGCCGCTGACGGACACGCTCCGTCCTCCCCTGCCTCATCAGGGAAGCCGGGAGTAGCCAGAGTGCCTCCTGTAGGGGACTGTTGAGAAGAATCCGAAGAAGTAACCCACGTAAAGCCCTTAAAACAGGCTCCGCCACACTGTTAAGAGCTCAGCAAGTGTTGGATGCCACCGCCACCCCCCGCCCAGCACCCCACGGGGATAAATCAAATTCAATGTCATTACCAAAATCAATCTAAGATCAAAATAAGCCTCCAGATCTGGCCTCTGCCTTACCCAAAAGACTACCTAAGAAAGTTAGTGAGAAAATAGAACACTATGAAGACTATCACAGAAAAACGCAAACATATCTCTCACAGAATGTTAAACACAAATGTATTTTTTTAAGATTCTATTACTAATAACAATAGCAGCAAACACTGTATGTATGGAGCACTTATTATGTATCAGGCATTGTTTCAAGCTTTTCACATTCATCAATAAATAAGCTAATAATCCCAGCATCCCATGAGGTACGTGACATTGCTATCCTTGTTTTTTTTACAAACGATCAAACTGAGACACAGAGACGGTGAGCAATTTGCCCAAGGCCATCCAGCCAGGAGTGGCAAAGGCAGGACTCAAGTCTGGGCCAGCAGGGTCTGTTCCTGATGCATCTGTCGGCTCCGGCCTCATGGGGGCAGTGTTGTGTGCTGCAGCTGGACAGGTACCAGGGCAACAGAGGAGGCACACAGCTGCTCACCCTGGGGCAGAGGGACAAGGGCTACGCTTTAGTGGGAGTACAGACTCCACGCCCAGGTGCACACCCAAGCGCAAGGAAGACCTACGTCCACGCAAAAACTGGTGTGCTAATGCTCAGAGCAGCAAGATTCGTGATGTCCAGAAAGTGGGAACCGTCCTAATGTGTGTCGGCTGATGAACGTATAAGTGGGAAATGTGGTCTGTCCATACGATGGAATATTATTTGGCAATAAAAAGGAACAAAGGCCGGATGCGTGCTATTCCTGAAGCACGGGTGAAGCTTCAGACTACCATGCTAAGTGAAAGACACTAGGCACAAAAAAATCCAGAATAGGCAAATCCACAGACACAAACTAGATTAGTGGTTGCCAAGGGGATGGGGAGATGGGGAGCAGCTGCCACTAGGTGCAAGGGTTTCTTTTCGGGGTGAGGAAAATGTTCTGGAATTAAATAGTGGTCGGGGTGCCTGGGTGGCTTAGTCAGTTAATCATCCAACTTCGGCTCAGATCATGATCTCATGGTTCGTGGGTTCAAGCCCCATGTTGGGCTCTGTGCTGACAGTTCGGAGCCTGGAGCCTGCTTCAGATTCTGTGTCTCCCTCTCTCTCTGCCCCTCCCTTGCTCGAGCTCTGTCTCTCTCTCTTTCTCAAAAATAAATAAACAGTAAAAAAATTATCTTAAATAGTGGCTGATGGTCGCACACTCCTGTGAATATACTAAACCCCTGGGAACTGTATACTTTAAAAGGGCTGCTTTTTAATATGTGGACTATATTTTTTAAAAAGAATATAAGAATAACTGCTTCCCCATAAAAATCTCCAGAAGGAAAGAACTGATTTACCTAACTATGGCAAATGCAATCCAATTAGCACTATGACTTGACTCTACGTTGCTTCTCTTTATAGTTTTTTAAAATCTCAATATGTAACTTTTGCACATCAATAAAAAACAGCTGGGAATCTCGTAAAAACATAAAACTTTGTAAGTATTATTTCATTCATGATAATACATTAGGTTTTGATAAATGATACAACAGCATTAAATCAAATGAGAAAGAAAAAAATAAACGGCATTTTATTAACAGGACTTTTTCCTTCAAAGTTAGTACTCAAGGTCTATTTCACTTCCTGCATCCCTTGCAGCATCCTGCGGTGCCTCCCAGGGCCTCCTTGCAGCAAAGAGCCACTTGCCGGGCTCAGAATCCTGCCTCTCACACGCGCTGACAGATAAGGTCACCGCTCTGTGTCCCAGCTTCCTCTCCTGAAAACAAGGATGGCAGTCAGCCCCTGCGTTCGCTTTTGTTCTGTTTGTTGACAACGACTTGTGCAAGAGCACAAATAAGTCCTCTCTTGCAAGCCAGAACTCACTGTGCAGTTGCTACAGGGGAGAAGGAACAAGGTACCGAAAACAGGTACAGTGATGGTGGGGGTGCCCGACGAACGCGAAGGGTGGGTCCGGGACTGCAGAATCACTAAAGGCAGGGGATAAAGGGAAATCTCAGCTACACTGAATTAGTATTCTAATTTTAATGTTGGCATGAAACAAAGATGCCTTCTTTTCTCAGGTTTTTCACCGGAGAATACAATGTCTGCACTTAAATGTACCGGAACATCCCCAAAATCTGTACAAGTCTAGGGGGTGAGAGTCCAGGAGTGAACATGGTTTGAATGTCTTCGTGTTAAGAGGGTGTCTGAAACTGAGAACAAGGCAAGATCCATCTACTCTGACCCAAAATGTGGGGGGATGTTTGAAGGATCCCCATCTTCAAGCGGAGATCAAAGGAGCCCGACCGGACAAACCGTGGGCAGACGGTGACAACAGTGGACCGAGCAAAAGTTCTTTTTAAAAGGGCTATTTTGAAGATTATGATTCTGACTTCAGAGGAACTAAGCTGATCGGCAGTGGAAGGAATCACATGTAAAATTCCTTAAATATAAAAACGTATTGACTTTAAGAATAAATCAATAAATAAAACAGGGATGGCAGGAAGCATTCTTACGTCCTAAGATTGTTGCAGATTAAACAGAAATTTGTAGAGCACTTAGAACAGTGCCTGGAACATCGCAAAGGCTTTATTTATTTATTTATTTATTTATTTATTTATTTTTATGTTTATTTTTGAGAGAGACACACACACACACACACACACACACACACACACACACACACACACACAGCACTAGCTGGGGAGGGGCAGAGAGAGCGGGAGACACAGAATCTGAAGCAGCTCCAGGCTCCGAGCTGTCAGCACAGAGCCCGACGCGGGGCTCGAACTCACAAACCGTGAGACCGTGACCTGAGCCAAAGTCGGGCACTTACCCGACCGAGCCACCGGGGCGCCCCTGCAAAGGCTTTAGAAACGTCCCCTATTCTCAGTAACACGGCAGGAGGGAGCTCTGGACACAGCGGGTGAACGGCTGGTACTTCACTGCGAGGCCTCAGGGAGTGAATCTAGCACCCCGGGCTGCAGTCCTCTCAGCATTTATGAAATGTCAGGAACGGGTAAGTCCACTCAAAAGCGTAAGCCAGGGCATCCGATAAGGTTATTCACACAGCGCTAAACGTCACACCCCCAAGGAGGCACCGTGCATACTAACTTCGTAGCTCACATGGGTCGCCCGTGTGTACGTGTATACACACAGACACCCCGAAACCCAGGCAGTTCCGGGGAAAGCGACAGGCGATGCTAACATGGTCTTAAATCTAGGAGCAAACAAAACCAACCACCTCCGTGGACAAACACTGCGCGTGCTCACAGCACAGAGCGCTTCCTCGGAGTCCTGTCCGTCTCACTGGGTTTCTCTGGAAAAACCAATAAACAAGTAAAACTAACCGGCCTCAGGTTACGTCCCTGAAAATGGGACACGGCACTCGAACAGAATGAAGAACAAATTCATTTTTAAAATAGCTCTTCAGAGGGCACCTGGATGGCTCAGTCGGTAGAGCATCCGACTCTTGATCCCAGGGTCGTGAGTTCAAGCTCCATGTTGGGTGTGGAGCCCGTGTAAAAAAAAAAAAAAAAAGCTCTTCAGAAATGACCTCACATTCATTTCCCTCAATTTACCACAGAAAAATTAACGTATGATAGAATGTGTGCGAGTTAATTGAATTTTCCTTATCTGTCCGTAGGCAAAGAGAACAAACACCCTCTTTCGTGTGAGAAACTGTGCTCTGGAGAAGTATCAGGCAAACACTAGTCTTTAAAAATTAACATCACAACGTCAGTTTTGATCCTGAGACAGAGGGTGAAGTAACCCTTTTTCCCCACCAGCTAAGGAAGCTACTAAGGTCACTGCGTAAAAGCAAGAGCATTCTGACTTGGAAAGTGCTATTTAATGTCACAAAGCAGACAACCTCCAAAGCAATCCTAGAGATCTCTTATGAACACCCAGGTTACAATCTTACGAGGCGACTCAAATTAAAAATTTACTGAAAGTAAAACCTGAGCCAGAAAGATTCTTCTATGAACACGGCTCCAACTTTTCAGCTTAGCCTCTTCCGGTACCCAAAATCCAAGCAATGCAAGGACAGTCCAGGGCGTAGTTTATCTAGGTCCTTGCCGCTCACGACCCAGCAGCACTAGCGGCCCCAGGTCAGAAAGGCAGATTCTCAGGTCCCCCCCCAGACCCACTGTAGCCAAATCCGCATTTTTGTGTGTGTGATGCCAGGAATTACGGGGCTTTTAGGAAGTAAAGAGGACACTCAACGTTACAGAGATTCAGGCGGACCCGAATCCGCATTTTTAACACAATCCTCAGGTGCTCTGTGCGCACACTAGTCTGAGGTGCACTGGCCTAAGTGTTCCCGTTTCCGGTCACACCCAGGAATTATACAAGGATGCAATGAACGTTTTGCCTTCCAAGAAGTACAGGCTTTTTTTTCAGCTGCGCCAACTATTAGAATTAAAAGGGGAAAATGCAGCACGCAGGAGCCACAAACACCTCTTAGCTATCAAGACATTTTCAGGGAGGCTCAGAAACGGTCCGAGTGGGGTGTGTGAAATGCTTCGCATCCAGTCGGGACTTTCGGGGAGAGAAAAGCCACGTTCGTACCTGCGAACCGCAGAGGTGCATCTTTATCCAGGGCGATCAGCGGAGGGTCGAGGAGCACCGCGTTGTCGTTTTCTGTGACGATGCCATGATAGGTGGGCTCGAGCCACGGCTTGTGCTTGTTAACTGGGTTTAGAAAGAGAAGAAGAAGAAAGGAAATAGACCAGGTCAGAATTATTACTTTAAACTCAACTGCTTTTATTTTATTTTTTTTTTTCAACGTTTATTTATTTTTGGGACAGAGAGAGACAGAGCATGAACGGGGGAGGGGCAGAGAGAGAGGGAGACACAGAATCGGAAACAGGCTCCAGGCTCCGAGCCATCAGCCCAGAGCCTGACGCGGGGCTCGAACTCACGGACCGCAAGATCGTGACCTGGCTGAAGTCGGACGCTTAACCGACTGCGCCACCCAGGCGCCCCTCAACTGCTTTTAAAGACATACGTCTATTACTAAAATAATTAAACCTCTCACTAGCCTGGAAGGCAACACTTGTATCTGTTGTTGCAAAGTTTCGTATCAAGACGCTGAAGGGGTCAAACTGTGAATTCCAGAGTCAGTGACGTAGAAACTGAGTCTATGGAGCAACCAGAAGTAAGAAATAAATTGCTCTAGGGGCACCTGGGTGGCTCAGTCGGTTGAGTGTCCGACTTC